AAAATTTACGCAAAAACACTTTTTTCTTAAAAAAAATTAGCGAATGTCGAATGCTTTTCGAATCTTTTATTCTTAAAAAATCCACCTTCGGAAGCCGAGGAATCGAAGTAAGCCAGCTTTGCACCGAAATTATAGGTTTATCACGAAGAGCATGATTAGCTCTTCTCAACGATATCCTTGTCGCAACTCAACCGCCATCCAGAGAATTGATGACGAGAATAAAAACGCTACGAACTTATGAAACTACCTAATACATGATCAGTTCTCAATGTATGCACAACGATATGGCACCAAATCGCGTTAATGAATGAACATAGACTACTGGGGACAAGGTATGAAAGATTATAAAAACTTCGTATGGATGGTGGAAGTACAAAGCGTTTTTCAACTCTCGTAAGCGGCGCGTGAAGATGTGAATCAAAATGGCTCTTTTGCAATGCACATGTGACAGTATGACATAGAACTTGGTACATACATGGACACCTGCGTGTAGGTTAATTGAAAATTTTCATCGAAAAATTATGTGACTGAAAATTAGGGCGCTCTTTTTTCTGAAAATTTCTCATTAATACATAATAAAATGGCTCGTTTGCAACACTTATGACGATTTGACACAAATTTGGTGTGTATACGCTCAGTAGGTCTAAGGAACGAGGTATGAAAAATTCTGTAAAACTTATGTGAATGAAGAGCGTGCCTAACTCTTTTCCAAAATAGGTGGGCATTTGCACACCTAATTTTGGAAAATGAGCCTAATGCCCACCTCAGATAGGCAAGATTTCCAGTCCACATAAGTTTTTCAAATTTTTTTTATAAATCTACGCCTAAAGTTGAGTATATAGTAGCATTTTGAGCTATGTGCCTATGCATCTGAATGTGCGACACAACTGATCAGTAAACATCTTGCAAATTGCAAAGGTGCTTCAATGCAGCGATGACGGGATCGCGGGAAGTAGACCTTAGGCCTTGGATACTCAAATGGTCCGTCTTTATGTGACGTGTGGGCCCTCAGCACAGAAGTTTCTAGAGTTTCAGGTGTCTCGCTACAAACATCCACTTTTTCTTGGTTGTCGTCGATGGCTGAGACCCAGGGGCAAAAACTGTATCCAGCCGATTTCTTGGCTGGTCCATCTGTTCCACGTACACGTCTGCCCATCTCGTCGCAGGTTTTCCTCGGGTATGTTCCGATGTTTTGAATTCCCATCTGTCGCTTATTCTTCTCATGATGTGACCGTCCCATCGGTGCTTCGCTCGAAACGCATTCCATTTGGCACGAACGGGATATTCTTCTATATCTGTACCGCGAAGTACGACAAGATGTTGTCGTCGGGTCATCTTCAGAAAACTGATTCAAGCGGTTTGTGGATATTCCGTAAGCTTTCAACGTGGGTAAAGTGTCGGCCCAAATCTCAGCTGCGTTATAGAGCGACAAGAACGGTGAGCAAACAGGTGGTCTCAGCTCCGGGACCATCTTGGTCGGTGGCTCCTTCTTCGAAGGTCCGAAGGCTGCCCAGGCTGCTCTCCTTCTCCTCTTAAGTTCCACCAAAGTCTCAATGTTTATCGAACATCCGAGATACACGTAAGAAGACGTCTCAATGATAAGGTGCCTTCTACTTTTCATAAATTGAGTCTTCTTCCGATTAAATTTGTAATCCGATCTTCTTCCCTACTTTCTTTAGTCCATCAGGGTCTCTGCTTCAGTGATACTGCTCGATGATAGAGACGTCGTCCGCAAAGGGAAGGTTGGACACTGGACAGGAATCTCCCATCAACTCGTAGCCACTCTCAGTTCAGTGACTTCATCGCCCACTTCAAGGCCGTGGTGAATAGCTTCGGCGAGATTGTCGGGTTATCGGGTCCCCTTTTCAATTGGAACGGCCAGGATGCGATTGAAAACAGCTCATCGTCGTTGTACAGTCTTTATAGCAGTCGGCCAACGTCCTCACATAAGCTGGTTCTGCTCCTTGATCGACTAGCGCTGACAGGGTGGCGTTGGTTTCAACGCTGTCAGAGGTTTTTTCGTAGTCGACGACAGTTAGGACAGTTAGGACAGTCCTTGAAAGCATCTGGATGTGATCCATGCAGCTGAATTCTTTGCGAAATCTCCAACCTGTTCTTGGGATTGGGATTCCTCCAAGCCCTTGGATATGCGAGTGAGAGTAATCTTTATGAAAAGCTTGCAACACACTCAGCAGGTATTGGACGGCAGTAATTTCGAAGATTTCCGCTTTTTACTGGTTGGGAATACTTACTTTTTGAAAGTGAGATTTTATACGATGCGAGATTAACGTGTAGACGTTGTCCTCCGGCTTGGAGAACGATGGAAAATGGTCTGGTTCTGGAGCCGTCTTCACGGTTAAATTTCGTTGGGACTTGAGCAGGTAGAATTCGTGGTGGTACTTCTCCAGTGGGAACAACGGGCATCGGCAGGGTGTTGATAAGCGGAAGAGGTTGGTGTAAAAGTTCTTTGCAATAGATTCCATCTTGCATCGGGAAGAAGTCCTGCATTCTTTAACTAGTGCAGCCAGCGGTGCGTGATAATCATAAAGGTCCCTCCGGCCCTTCTTGAGACTTCGCCTTCTTTGGGCTGCTTCCAGTATGGTTTGCCTGTATTTCCTGAGATACCCCTGCAAAGCTATTCTGGCGTTGGCTATCATTCGCTCGAGATGAATTGCATTTATATCTCGCCTCAGAGATTTTCATTTTTCGAGTAATTCCTTGGTGGTTCTTAAAATGCGTTCTAAGTTCTTCTCGAAAGTCACTGAGGCGCACTATCCGCAGGCTCGCAATTCTTCCAAAAGCCCAACAAGACGGTTGCCGTTCGCGTCCCGAAGCCCATATTCAAACTTCTCAATCCTATAGTCTTCTTCGAATGGGATTCTGATTTTCGCTTGGAGTCGCTCAACTTGTAGAAGGACTTTCCGTTGCGGACGGCCTTTTCCAAGTCTACATGAAAACCATCTTGTTCCGATTCGTGACCTACTACTGTTTGGGAGTAGCAGTTAATGATGCCGATGGTATTTCTGAAGCAAACATCAATCGTAGGATGACTAAGGTGATAGCACTCCTACGAACTGACAGGATTAGCTATAGGTGTTGTGCTCCTCCAACCTTTCGTGAAGGAGCTTTCTCATTACTAGTAATGAAAGTTCTACCCACTCATCTGTCGCACGTCCTTTTTCTTGACCTCGTTTCCAGTAGACCGATGACGTTGTAGTTAGTGTACTTTGTAGCATCGAGAAGAGCGTGGAGGTCAACGTTTTGTAGGCTTTGACGTCGTAGGTAAAGTGCATAAGGCAGTCTCCATGCGTGTCGTCCCTGCAGACGTGTCGTTTTTGTTTAATCCAAAAACGCCGTAAGGACCCTAACATTGTTCTTCCTGCCATCCCGTAGGTGAAGTCCGATGTGCAGAGTCTTCTTCTCTTCTTCTGGTTGATAAAATGATAAAATTTTTTCCCTTGCAAGAGCAGACTTACCAGGCCTTCGATTTTCACGGAAGATCGCTAATCGGTGTGCGGCAGGGACCGCCTAACGATCAGAAAGGCCAGAATTTGGTCCGGTCCACTCTCAGCGGGGCATACAGCCGGAACCGGAAATGCCGAATTCCTTCTCAACTTGGGATACCCTACCAGAGTATAAACTAGGCTGTTCATTGCAATTCGACGCTCAAAGCCACCCGCCACAATGAGACGGCGGACCATCGTGGTAGCTTACCGAACACAGTGAAGAGTATTGTTGTCTTACCGAATAACGATATAGCTTTTGAATGCATTTTTCACTGTAACCGCGTACGGCCCCGGACAGATTTCACGCGATTTGATCGTCGCGACTCAATCGCCGACATTTCCATTCATTTTCATTTCACATTCAAAAATTTCGCGCTGAAAAAGTATCACAACCGAAATGCAAGTTGATCGGCATGGAATGATGTTGTAACAGTTGTCTCGTCGCGATTCAGTCGCGACGATCAAATCGCGTGAAGTCTGTCCGGGGCCTACATGGAAGCAGGCCACATATTGAAGTGCCGCAGTGTATCGACGTCGAAAAACTGTGGACCCTCCAACTTTAGTAGATGCATTAAGATTGTTGTAAATCCCAAAATTATGCTTTTGATTTTCTGTTGATGAAGCACCCAAACCTGAGCAAGCTTCTGAAATAATTTTCCTGTGAGGAACGCGCGTAACTCTAGTGTAGGACTCTGCATGATCGCGAAAGTGAGTTAGTTTGCGGCCAGTACACAGGCATGATGCCACAAGGCTCCATACCAGTTGAACAACCCAGTACTATCGAACCCGTTCCAGGTAACTGGAAGCCAACATCTGATAGCAGAAGAGCATTTTGGAAGGTAAAAGAAGAAAAGTTCAACGCACGGGCAATGGCTGCAAACTCACCTCGCTTGCGATCGCGCAAACCTCTACGCTATATAGTCTTTCTAGGGCATTTAATTGTATACTATAATGCCTTCATGAAAGCTACATTTGCAGAAAATCATCTCATATTTCTATAACTATGGCTGTCTGAGAGCATATAATCTGCATTTCACCTAATTTATAAATACCAATAAATTTGCACTTGCACTCTTTAATTCAGGTGAGATAGACCATCAACAAGTGATGTAAACCAATCACAAAAAAATCTGAATGGCTCGATCTTGTCACAGTTATATATCCTATCGTTAGAAGAGTGTTTGCAATTAACTCTGGCAGATTGCTGCTTTTAGCGAGTGAAAAGGCTGAGTGGTGGCAGTTAAGCATATTCTGGCGTAAGAGTAAAACTGACTTAGCAAGCTGATCTGAAACCCATTTACTAGCATAACCCACATTTTACCTAGTATGCTACTTTTCTCAACTAATCCGCAAATTAGCTCTTCAGCCCAGTTCTCGTTTCTAACAGAATTGCCGAGTTTTGTCTGACCTGTTTTGTGAGGTGTAGAAAGCTAGTTAGTTTTGTCTGGCCTGTTTTGTGAAATCTAGAAAGCTAGGAGTGTTTTGTAAGGTGTAGAATCAACGCACTTTTATTTCACATCAAAAAATACAGGGACATTTTTATCATGAAGTTCAATATTTTCCCTTCCTTTTCTTTTTACACTCTACGCAAAAACATGTGGGTGGAGGGCGATTATTGATAAATTTGCAGTAACCGAATCCGCATTTCTGAAAAAATAACAATTCACTGACACCCAAGAAATTGTAGCTAGAAATGATTTAGCTGATCAAAAAGCGTCAGATAATCACCAATTCATTCTGGCAAGCTTTGGCACAATTTTTGTTCGGCTCTATAGGATTCTCTGCGCTAAGACCGGCACAGATTTTCTGGCCTCGCCCGCCTCTTCGTGCATCGACGAATTCGCCAAGTAATATCAGAGCTGTTAAGTGAAGGAGGAGTCGCATGCTCTAAATGTTAGCGGATAGTATTAATCTGATAGCTGAAATAACATCGAAAAATGTTGATCATCAATTTCATTGGAAATTGTCAAAAAAACAGAAGTATCTGTAGACAGGAATAATAATACTGTCGGGTCAGCATTTTACATTTTTGCTACGAGAACTTCAAAAGCATCATAAAAAATTAAAATTTTTTAGTGAAGTTCAAGTGTTTTCAAAGTAGCGATTCTGTTACTTTCAACAAGGGCAAGATCACATCCGAAGGTGCATCAACAGCGTTATCTTCCTATCAGTCTCACCAGAAATATCTTAGGCTGCAAAAGCGATTTGGGATGAGAAGCATCACTAGATGCGTGCTGGTAAGCTGATGTCTCTACATTCCTTATCTGCTGAACGATTGTCTAGAAGAAGTCATGGGCGTTTTGTCGAAATTTGGCATTCGATGCCATACAATCAAGAATGAAAGGTTGAAACACGTCTAAATTATGTTTCTCGTAAGGTGTCTCTTGTAGTCAGAAAATACACTTCAACACATTATCCATTGAAACCGCAACAAAGTCAGACCCTCCCCTCCCCTACCCCCCCCCCCCCCCCAATAACTTCTCCCACAAACTCGTTCAACAGAGATGGAACGCGGATTTGGAATCAGTTCGTTAGGACGCATCTAACGATACGCTTCGCATTTCAGGGCACCTCTGCGACCTGGGATCCACTCCTGCTCAATAGCAATGTAGTCGATCTTGGTCCTGGCTTACAAGCTGAAGTTTGCTTGGATTGCATACCTGCGTAAGCGACGGAAGAGATTGCGGGAAAAATTCAAAACCGCCCGTGAAAGGAAACACAAGAGGAAATGATGAACAACTAACTCTGCTGTTTTGCTAATTTCGGTGATATCAAACAGATCCAAATTCATGTTTTCCAAGGAAAGAATTCTCGTTTTGGGATATGGATTTGTAAAGGCAATGTTAGGGTTACAATGCCGCAAAATGAACTGCAAAATTCTACACAAATTCTGGTAAATATAATTTACGAAAAAGAGGCAAATAAAACAGCGAAATTCATGATCTCAATCCACGCTTTTTCACAGCTTTTGATGTGGAGCTACACGTTTTTTTCTCGCAGGACGTAAAATAGCCCGGAGCAGCGGCAAGTTCTCCAAAAGGGTCTTGGACTTTACCGGGTGACGAAAAGTCGCATGCTTTTCAAAAACCTGCACTTTTCCATGAAAGTTGACCCGATAACCGATATTTGATGAAACGTAGAGTGAATATCGTTCTGTTCAGTGCTGAAGGGAAGATATGTGGCAGTATTGAAAGTAGATCACTCATAAATCTCGGTACACGGTCTTGCCCGGTTCATGGGCCACGGAGCCAGAGGGAGGAGAGGGAGCGCATAAAATATGTGTTCTGCTTCAAGACCTACGCCTTTACATTTTTCATCCCTCTTCCCTCTGCTGCATTCCTGCCCCCCCCCCCTTTCCTTCTCCGGTTCTGCAGCCTATGCTCACTTGCAGGGTGCATTGCAATTGCAAATGCCTACCTCAAAATAGCATCATCTGGAAGTACCGCGTTTTTCTGACCGCAAAGTGAGAATGAGCTTCTCTGCTGTTGTTTACAACACAATGTGCACGCGGTATGATAGCGGTTGATAAGGCTTCGTTTTCATTGCTAGGTGCCAATCAATAAATCGATAGAAAAACCCAGCAAATCGCCTCAAAGAGTAGCCTAAAGCCATCTGCAGGGTCGAAAGCATTATATGTGCAAAGTTTCAGTTCAGTTGGTTCACGCGCAAGAGAGTCTATAAAAAACATACGGTCCAGAGTTGCACAAACTTTGACTTTTACAGGTGTATAGATAACGGATTCCGCCTATGGAGGCCAAAAGCAGCTAAAGAAACACACGAGATAAAGTAGGAATGAGTATCCTAAATTGAACACATTTTCAAAACAAGCAAAAAGAAGAAAGTAAATAAAAGCATTGATGACTTCTAGAACATCCTCTTACATTTTATATGACTGCCTTCGTTGCGAATGCTCAAAAATCACGTTTCAAAAATTTTTATGACAAAGGGGAACATTACGCGGAGCAAAATTCTTACATCATTTGACATTTCTTATTCCATAACAAAAGCGTTATTGTTTTCAAATGACTTCACACGCAGAATACCAGAATACTTTTGCATCTTACAATTCAAATAATCACATAGGTTGATTACCTGGACTGTCTGCCCAATAGTGAACTGTCTCAAAAGTAGCATTTGAATACTATCAAAATAAACTGCTTGCTTGCTATCTTACACTCTATAGAAAACTCGGCAATGAACTCGACAGCGAAAAATAAGAAATTTCTTCTAACCGAGTCATAAAACAACCAGTAGATGTGGAACTGCATACTCATTTTGGAACCCTGTATTTGCAGCAGTTCCGCCTTTTACACCTTGCAAATTTTTCACACTTCCAGAGGTTGTTCTCTCCACCAAACTTCCAATCGCCTTCTAGATTAGGGATGCTGACGAGGAAAGTGTTTTAGTCGAAGCGGCTTTCACGTGAAATCAATATCAACTAAAAAATCCGAAAAAAGGTTGTTTGTTGCCAAAACCATCTAATATCTACCAAAGTTTGAGTCAAAGAATCAAAGGAGCAACTAGACAAAATTGTCAGAACTGTTCAGATGGTCATTGCTGGATATCAGAGCACTCCATGTATTGCATACGTTCTCTTCATTGTAATGTATCCAACATTGCTTAGCGATAGAAAGACTATATTAACACATTGACGACGATGTGACCCACATGGTGGGTCATGCAATGACTGTGGTTTTAGAAGTTCTGTTATGCTTTGTTCCTAGAAATCACTTCCGCGTTTCTTAGCTGCTTCTCAAAATCACTGTAGGGATATTGCAGATGACGCCTGCTTGATTTCAGCTAGAAATACTCAATTCACTGTAGAAGGCACTGTCACACAAGGCATACAGCTAAAAATGCACGCTGTCGTCAACGTGTTAACTGCTTTTTGCTTAGATTCTATGCTTTTGCGCTCAAACTACCATAACTCATCGTCCAAATGCGCTTGGCAGATAACGGAAATAGATTGCGGATCAGCGTGGAATGCATTCTAAAACGGTATACGTCACATCTGGAAGGAAACTTCGACGAAAAGCATTTTTCTTGTGAGTTTTGGCTGTGATTTAGGCTCAAGTCGAGGTTTGTTGTTTGGAACCTCGCAAGTTAACGGAGCTTGATTTTGCCAAAGGTAGTTTATTGTAAAAACTCCTGCTAGATTAAACGCATTCCATTTGGGGTAAGCACACGGAGGCAATGTGCAAACATTAATGGGAGCACTCCAAAAATCTAGGATGCTTCCCAAGTTTTTGATCGGCCTTTAACGCTGGGACACCCATGCCTCTGGAATTTTGTTGCAACCCTGATTTGAAATTTTTGAAAAATATTCTAATCATTTACCGGTGGAAACATTAGGACAGAAGACAACGGTCATGGGCGGCATGTAGCTAAGTAATGGAACCCTCATCATCCAGCGCAAACTTCAGTGGAAACGTTGTAGTATCGGCTTTGTTATAGTGCGTTAGTTACATCGTTCGACTTGCCTATTCGCATGAGATTACTTCCCTTTGATTAGCCATCTTATGTCTAGGCATTCCTTGTCGAAGACCTCCAACATTGTTAACTGCCAATTCTCAAATTCAGCAGATATAAATCAGAAAAAAATACTTTCTATGGAAACGTGGGATGTTGCAACGAGAATTTCCAACTTAAAGGCAGCGTCCGGGCAAAATTTCACTTCACATGTTTCTGCCATTCTGGGGCCTTTCCGTGACCCTGATTACAGTTGTAAAGTTCAAATTGTTCAAAACTCCCAACCCGATTCTTGGGGAACCTCACTTCAAGGAGCGGACGAGTTTCGAATTGCTCGTCCCCGTCGTCATGCCAGCGGAAGGAGCTGCAACTGACGGATGCATTTGCTTTGCAGTGTGCAGTGCAACGCAATGCAACTACAATGCAACCGCACACCTGCGTAAGCACTCGTCCTCAGGGGTGGTTTGTGATACGAAGGGGCGGCTTGTGATACGTATCACAGGCCCTATCTCCTTTTAGAGGGCACGTCAAAGGATTGGATAAACGCAGATCGGATACTCATGGGCTCCTCTTCACAACTATATGCTAATCTGGGTGGATGGATCTTGCCTGGACGCTGCCTTCAAATGCAAGCGGCGTTATTTGGAGATCAGAATGGCATAAAGGGAAATGTTTGATCCAAAAAATTGAGTATGGTCTTTCCAAGTTAACGATGACCGTTTTGCTGTGTTTTTTCTTTTATCCACTTCGCCGCAGGATGTTTTATAAAAGTTCCATTTGTATAAAAGAGAACAACGCAGGAAGGTAAGGTGATCTATCATCTAACAACTTACGCTGAAATCGAGCAGCTACTAACCGAAGGTGGAAGTTAAATATCTTGATGGTTGTAACAATCCGCAGTCCTTTAATCACGCTTCCTTCCAACAAAATTATGATGCATTTAAAAATCAATATGAAGATCTGCCAGCGTCACAAGAGAAAAAGAAGACGTTCACGAAGCTTACATAGAGAAGCTAGTTAGAGAAGCTCCCACTGAGCTGTAAAGGTGTAACTAGCTTATGGGGTACCAGGAACCGCTATAACCACTATTAGGGTCGCGAATCTACAGAGAGTGTTGCCTCAAAGGCACCGTCCACCCAAAGCGAGGTTTATGAGATTTCGGTGGCATACTAGTGTGGGCCCCCACACTAGTATGCCACCGAAATCTCATCAACCTCGCTTTGGGTGGACGGTGCCTTCAAGTGGCTCGTCTGAGAGCACCATCAAACCTTCAAACCATTGAGGCTGCGTCCAAAGTAGCCCGCGTGTCCGTCCTGTGCCCAACGTTGTGAAGGCGTATGTGAAATTACGATTCCGAAAGGAGCCTAGAAGTGAAGTGAAGAAAAAGAGCTATGAGTTGAAATTGAAATTGGAACCAATTTTGCGTTCTTGATAGGCAGAGCTAGTTGCAGGAAAGCTTTTTAGGGGGATCTTGAGAAACACGCAAGCAGAAACTGTGGAAGTTTTAGAAGGAAGACCTTGTTTCAATAAGGAGTATTTGAAATTATTACTCATCTATTTTCTCGTTATTCAAATCTATTTTTTTGAAGAATACACTATTTGCAACAAAATCAAAAATCAACACAACTCTATGTCTCTAGACGGGAACGTTTTACATATTATTTCTGGACTCATACCAAGAAGTCGAAAACAAGTGTCGAAGAGAAATTTGATTAGTCGTAACTTCTTCTTCTGTTCTTCTTACACTCCATGCACCAGCATCTAGGTTGAGGGTTATCTCCGAAAAATCTGCAGTAACCATACCCACAATCCTAAAAACTTGCTTATTTTTTGTTATCTAAGGAGAAGAACTGAAGGAAAGCAGCTTAAAAGTGTTTACCATATACTCATTGCAGGCTATTCTACATCTTCGATGTGGTTCCACTGGATTCTCTTCGCTTAGACCGGCACAATAACGCGGGTGTCTCTGGGCGTTGCCAAATCCGCCAAGTAGTATTAGAACGGCTAGGTGAAGGAACAAACGCATTGGCTTCTGATTACCTATGAAAGGAATAACTTCAAGCTAGAAAATTTTCGCTCAGGATTCAAGGATCATTGGAAACTTGTGCCATGAAAGTGCTGTTTATACTCTCTTTTCTCTTTCTAAGATGTGGATGAATTCGAAAAAATTCTGTGGCATCAATTCAAAACTCACAAATCTATCATTCAGGCAACCAAAAACTTACAAATCAAATTTTTGCAATTTGCGAATCCAAAGGTAAAAGTCCAGGCACAAATGATTTTGAGAGGAATGACGGTTACACTTGAATACACGCAGGTGTCAGTAGCTCTCAAATGCCAATCAAAAATCTAATCAGTCCACTTATCTTCGAGTCATTTGTAACTTGATATATTGAGCATATTGAGCGTACTGAGCACCGCATGCGCTACTTGGACTCGGACAGGAGGCAGCCAAGGCCGGCCGTATTTGCTTCTGGAAGTGTCCGGGAAGCTCGAGATTTTCTCGCACCTTTAAGCATCCTTCGCACTTTACAAGCAAATAAAAATCTCTTGAAGAGTATTTTACTCTGAATCAAGTTGAAAATCTTCAATTTCTTCCACTCTTAGCTAAAAACGGCTCCAGCCTATAGAATATCGGGTTCAGAGCAGTTTCCTTCACAATTCGTGGAAAGGAATTAGACTACTTACTATTTCACTTGCTTGACTACGAAACATGAAACCTTTACTTCGCAATTCAGCACACTCGAAAAGTTTACGAATAACTAGGCATAGGTCATGTCATATAGATACTTAGAGGTGTGAAGAAGTAATTAGAAGCGCGAGAAATTCTGAAGCTCCTCAGATGCTTCCATAAGCAAAAGCGGTAGGCCTTTGCTTGTGTGCCCGACCGTCGCGCTAATTCACGACTTGTAAGATCAGAAGCTACCAATCTTATAAGCTTTCCTCTTGTTTTCTTTTTTGGGGTTTGACTGGATATGGATACTGTTTGAATTTAATTAAGGCTTTGGCCATACTTCGCCCGTGTTGCCGGTGTTGAAAGTGTTGCCGGTGTTGAAAGTGTTGAAAGTGTTGAAAGTGTTGCCGGTGTTGAAAGTGTTGAACGGAGATCATCAATCTAGCAGTTTCATTCTTTCTCGAACGATCTCACCGGCTGGTGAATACGTTGGGAATGGAATTGGGGAATGAGAACTGAAACTGAAATGAGATGGGGAATGTTTTCGCATGCAAAAGATCCTCAAACAAACTTTTTGGAAAGTGGACGGCTTGTCTGAGATAGGCAATCTCCAATATTTGGGAAAGCTGACGTCTGAGTAGTAATGTGTTTTAGTTCGAATCCTGCCGCGCTTGCGATTAGTGAGTAAAGGACCTAAGTGAGGTCTGCAGCGTTTTCCTATTCCAGACAAGCCGTCCACTTTTCAAAAAGTTTGTTTGAGGATCTTTTGCATGCGAAAACATTCCCCATCTCATTTCAGTTTCAGTTCTCATTCCCCATTTCCATTCCCAACGTATTCACCAGTCGGTGAGATCGTTCGAGAAAGAATGAAACTGCTAGACTGATGATCTCCGTTCAACGCTTTCAACACCGGCAACACTTTCAACACTTTCAACACCGGCAACACTTTCAACACCGGCAACACGGGCGAAGTATGGCCAAAGCCTAAGCTTATTGACTGGATATGTATTAGACGGTGGCACAGATTTTCACACTTTGTAATTATAGAAAGGGTTTTGCTGACGAGTTACTAGTGAAGTACCGTACTGCACGCAATGCGCAGGCTCACATATTGAGTTACAAATGGCTCGCGCATTTGTTTTGACCATTATGGCCTAACCTAAATACCACATAAGGTAATTCGATACACAATGTGCACCCAGGAAGCGAGAAATAAGCTTCCGACAAATTTAAGACCTACCTAGGAGAAGGAGAAGAGAGAATGAATGAGAATTCAGCACTAAAGGGCTTTGCCACGTTTCGTGACACGTGGTTCATTCTCCGCCGCGCTGGTGTTTAAGGACTAAAAAAGGGCTTCGATTTCTAACCTCGAGTCATTTGTAACTTAATATGTGAGATTGCACACTAAGCCCTATTAGCGACGGCACCAATACTAGTAACTTGTGTAGTTGTCTTCTACTGACTAACATAACCAACTAAAACAAAAGAAAGAAGGAAACAAGAAGAAATCACTGGAAATGAGCAGGTTAAAGTCTCGCAGTTCGTCAGTTAGCGTGTATAGTGTGCACTACTCATATTAACTTACAAATGACTCGACGATAGTACTTATTGGCGTAACGTAAGATTAAGGGTAACAAGCATTTCGAAAATTTACAAAGTCGAAGGATTTTTGTACCCAAAATGCAAGCAATGGTGACGCTTAAGAATGTACTTCGAGATTACGTTGTGGAATAGATAAAATCAATCAGTATGACTTTTTTGAACTGAGCAGGAATAAAATTTGTGGCTTTAGATATAACAATAAGCTATTATGAGAAGAATTTGCTTACGCTCGCTTTTACACCGGTTTGCATTAAGAAAGAATAAGAATAGGCGCTTGGCTAATTCTGCTTTGCAAAGCTAGAAGTAGGAAGATGTGGAAAATAATTTTCAATCTATCTATATATACAAAACTCAATGTCTGTGAGGATGTTCGTTTAGTTGTTCGTTCGTTATAGAAACGCGCGCCACTGAACCGATTCGGCTGAAACTTCGCGCACGTATATTTTCGACCCCGGCGGTGGTTTAGAGCTACTTTCCGCGGCGATTCGCCGGGACATTGCATCGATTTATTGATCTGTTTACTCAAAACTAAGAAAATGAAAGGCCATTATGGCAACCGACCATTTTTACATATAAGCATGTAAACAGGGGCGGTAAAGTTCATTTCAGTCTTAAAGTTGGTAAGGTGCGGCAATTAGTCTGAAAGCGCTTTATGCGCATGTTAGAAGAAATCTAGAGGCGTAAGTTTACAAGCTCTGTTGGCTTAACTATCTTGAAGTCTCGGGTGTGACCGGGGCCACCAGCTAGTGTATAATATTAGATCGGTGCGAAAGTATTGTCAGTTTTTGAAAATGACACCAAATTTCGTACAGTAGGTAAACATACACTTCAAGCTATAGCCTATGCGGAATTTCTCTTTCTCCATCTGCCATATTTTTAATGTGATTCGTTGGGGGAAAGCTGACAATGAGATAAATGCGCGAGACTATAATCCTTCGTTTTCGTCATGTGTAAATTTCGCTAATGTTCGAACTTTTCATTCGAGAATTTTGAGGGGACCTTAACCGGCAGATAGGGCAATCTTTGCTAAAGCTGGAGTTTAGCGGCTCGTATTTCAGAATTTTCGAATATATTCTCTGATGTGACCAAATTTTATATTCGACCCATTCTAACCTCTTACGAGGGAAGGATACTTGGTGACCGTAGCCTTTTGCAATGAAATGCATACTAGTAGGTGCGTTTTGGAACGCTGATTCTAAATCTATGTTCACTATCTGCTGTGCGACTCTCTGAACGAAATTATGGACTTTTTTCCATATTGATTTTGCAAGATTTAAGCAGCCAAAATCGTCAGTATCCAGGCTTTTTAGGCTCTGATGCATCGTTGACAGTTTTCTTGAGCTTAACGTGAAGCTTTACTTTATCTGTACGCTCTTCTGTAGTGCGTAAGCGAATATTCTAACGTTATTGGTGAATCCTGCATCAAAAACAGTGCAAATTTTGGTGACAAAAAATGTTCATAACTTCCTTCGGAGGAGCGCACAGCAGATAATGAAAACAGATTTGGAGTCAGCGCTTCAAGATGCATTTAATGGTGTAAGTTTCATTTCAAAAGGCCACGGTCACCAAGTATCCTTTCCTTGTTAGAACATAAAATAGTAAACAATTCAGGCACCTTCCGTTGCAGCTTTTTCTCTTTTTTTAACAGCTGCCTTTTTTTAGCGAAACATGCGGGTAAAACAGCAGTATTTCTCAATTTCGCGAGTGCGGCCTAAGTTTTATAGTTTCACGCGGAGTTTTCATGGGGTAAAAACAGGCAGCCTGTTTCATATTTGTTGTAGAATAAGAAGATTTGTAAAACATGAAACCGTATGAATTTACTCTGCACTTTGCTGTCTTGATTTACTACTAAAAATGCAGAATTCGTAGGAGCAACCCTAAGGTGTACGGATAGAATCAACGCGAACCTCTGCAAAGCAGAGTTGACACACTGTTCTATCAGATGAGTCAATTATACTGTCAAAGCAATTTTTTACTTTTACTTAGAACACATCCATATTCAACGCGTGAATTCGTTTGAATTCGAATACATTGGGTATAATTTCTGTGCCGCCCAGTCCAGATTCTACGGTATCGCCATAACTAAATTAAACCTATTAAACAGTCGCAGTAAATCTTCCATTTTTGCAAACAAAAGAGCAGTGTATTGCGGAACAGAGTAGTGAAACGAAGCGGTTGATAATAACAGCTAGGCTCTGATCTGCAACCGTAAGACCTGGGCTGTGAGGAGGGTCGAAGGTTTATTAGCTGTTTATTTTTGACGTTTACTGACTGTAATTCTAGATTTTTCGAAACTAAAATGAGAGATAGGAATCACAACGTCAGACCTGTTTTTGAAAGTTTCAAGCTGTATGGCAGGATTTATAAGCATAAACAGGCATCCTTCATAAAAAGTTTTATCGGCTTTTATAGTGATCGTTTTTTCTGTTTCCGTTTCGCTGGCAATCTTGAATTCCTTGTCCCTCCTTTACGTTAGTAACATGTATAAACCTTCACCCCCATTTCTTCACAGTATCTAAACTTAAAGTTCAGCTATTCAAGTATCAATCAACTGTCCACGAAAGTACATACTCGTTAAAGATTACAGAAATTGATCATTGCAATAAGAGTTAAAGGTATTTGCGGCAGAAATGCGGGATGTCTCATCTTCAGAGCATGTTTGATATGAATCTGCGAGATTAGGACATTTTCAAAGGGAGGTTATCGAGTACGCTAGCAATCAGTCACTGCTACATTAGAAAAGCTGACGGAAAATTTTCGCTATCAAGCAGAACAAGAACCACTGCGTGAGTTTTGAGCAGTAGCGCATGTGAGGAAAAGTGTTGGCACAATAGTTTTGATTTGCTTCAGAAGTTTCTCATTGAAACGAGATTCACCGCTTGCTACTACTCTTAATAAACAAAAGATGTTAAGAGGAGGGAAAGTTTTAGTCTGCACATGAAAGACTGATAAATTGTAACTTTTGATGCGATTACCCTTGATTTTCCGCTTCTCTCAGAAGGATGTGGGTCTATTAATCGAGTGAGAGTAACAGTCTTGTCGAGTAAGAGTAACACGCTTACTTGATGTTGCAAATATGGTTGGACAAGACTTTCTATTTTTCGTGGTTGATATAATACGACTGTAAAACGCCAAATTCTTCATTTTTTCTCCTACTCAAGTAATATGGCCAACGATATCTACAACCCACCACAATTTGTTTGCATTCAACTACAGTAGGTGCTTTCTGCGACGTCCTATCAGAGTTCTGTCGTACACCCACCGTAACCCGAGAAGATATCTCTTGCAGTCACAATTCCTCTTTCTTTGCAATTAATAGAGCAGTGTAGTGTGCAGAGGAATCAAACAGCAGTAAAGAATGTGCTGCTATGCTGACTTTTGCAAATGACGGACTAGATGACAAGTGTGTTTGTCATACCTTACTTTCATCGAGCTCACCTGATCTTCAATCAAGACATCAGAGGAATTAGCTTTGAAAGAATTGTAAGTGTACTAATTGATGTTGCTCGAAAAAAAGTTCTGCCCTTTTTGTGTACCAATGCTACGGGGGGGGGGGGGGAGAGTATTTTGCATACTTGTATTAGGTGTTTTTGAGAGTTAAGTGGCAGGATCTTCGAAGAAGGTTGAAGAAGCTTTATAAATATCTCTACTACCCCGAAATTATTGTCTCCCGTTCATCCTTTGTCTCTTTCCCTCCTGTTTCTTTTTTGGACGTAACCGAATATAGTCTTCTGCACAATCGTAGCACGTACAGACTTTCCTTCCATTTCTCCTTTCTTCACAGTATCCAAATTCACAGTCCTGCAATTATTTAGCTTACATTGCGTAAAGCAAAAGTACAGCAGCCTACTTTTCTGTATTGACATGCGATAGTGCAGGAACTGTCGGCGCTCTCACGATCATATTCCATTAAAGCACATATTCCTCTAGATTTACAGGAAGAAGTGATTATTACACCAAGAATGAGAAGTATTTGCAGCATAATTCCGGAATATCTTATTTTCTGAATGATATATTAGTCTGCAAGATGTAGGGACTTTTTAAAGAAAAGCTAAATTGAATAAAGTGTGCGTCAGTCACTGCTATGATGAGGCTGAAAAAAAAGCTTTCATGTTTTCGTTAGACACACAACTTTAGAGCATTAGTGTTGAGCAATAGCACTTGCACGCAGCAAGTGTTGCCAGATGTGGTATTAGTTTGGGTTTGCTACACAAGCTTTTGAATCAACCTGCTTTTATTCTGACCACTCCTTGCCAACCAAGAGATGTTAAAAGGAAAGTTGTGGATAATAAGAATGCCTCTAGGAGGTTGTAACTTGGCTATCGCCGTAGCTTCTTTCGAGAACGTAGGAAAGAGGAGAAGAAGAAGTAGCTGAAACTTCAAGATATGAGTCTCACAAAAAAATTTACGCCTCACAGTTCCTTTAAAGTCAGGTGCCTTCCTGAGATATCTTAATAACAAGGTTCCAAATCTTCCATAAAATGATGACTATCATGACCATTTGAATAATTCATGAGTAAAACTACTGAAAACGTCCCAAGTTGTCCCATTAGACACAGCATGAGAAGCTAGGCATGAAAAATGATTGACAAGCATTCAACAACTGTGTGAGGAACTCCGCAACCAATATAGCTCCTGTCTTACATGAGAGGGTATTGAGAATGAGTAGTTGCTGAAATTCGTTCGCAATTGTCAGCATTGTGCGGTCAATATCAAGGCCATTATCATGCCAGCACGAAGCCTCATGACGACAGTAAAGCCTGTACGACTCTTTGAGAAGCAAAGGTGTTCTGCTTAGCAATATAGAGTAGGCATAAAGTTTTGAACCCCTGTCATACTGATAATGTCTGCCAAGGAGATCGTTCCTAGTATCTATTGTGTGAAATTTACAATTATCTAGTATCTACTGCGTGAAATTTTCAGTATCTTCCAAATGTTTATAGATGCTTCTTCTGCAAACGAATAATGCACATGTATTGCTTAAAGCGTCCAAACACACTTCAAATCCTTTGCTGACCATACAGCCAAACCTCTTTAGGACGTGATAGATGATGCTTTCAAGATTTACAAGCACGACTAAATTAGATTGACAATAATATCGAACCGACTTACAATGATGCAAATGATTGCGCATTAGAGCTTTCATGAGCTTTGACGCGCTCTCACATTACAGTGAATATATTTGAACCATCAAAAAGATACCGCAAGTTTAGCAAAATGTCGTAGACCGCATTTCTATATACTAAGATTTGTTTTAAGCATTTAGTGTAAATAAAAGGTGTTCAATATATTCTTGTATCATGTTTCACTTGAGCAACATTTACGGGAATGCAGAATTGGAAATATGCGATATAAGTGAACAGCTTCTGTTTCACCCAATAAATCTGAAAAATGATCTTGGAGAAAAAGAGTCAAATTCTAAGTCACCTTTCATTGTTAGTGATTGAGGGAATTATCTTGCGTTCTCAGTCAAACACTTTAATCAGTGAGAAGACTAAAAACGCTACGTATAAAGCTACTCCTTTAGATCTATTTCTCTAATACAAATAATAGATTTTTGATACAAATAATGGATTTCAAAAATGAATTGAAGCATTCCTAACCTGGCAGCTTTTTCAAATTTTGTGGACTGTTCAACTAATCATCGTTACCTCAATGCTTATTTGAAAAGCTCTTTCCTCCGAACACGTTGAAATGTTTCTAACAATAAGCGTTCTTTTTCTCGTGACCAACTAACTTCCGTCAAACTTCACAGTGGAAAGTGGCAATCACTACTTGAGCATATTAGACATTTTTTGTGCAGCGATATTTGTAAAAAAACCTAATTTCGAAGTGTACGATGACCGTTCGCAATCCAACATGCCGTTGATAATTTTCAGCAAAACATCACATAGAATTCAAACGCTAACTTGACAGCGCTAGATCGAAGATGACCTTTTCACCGAGAGAATTTAACGTCTTATGCATGACTTGAAGCAAAGTTTTCACTTATGAAAGTAGTAGGTTACATTTGTAATGAAACTGTGGAAAGCGCTGGCAAGATTTGCAACATTTCCATTCCTCAGGTGAAAGTTTGGAAGAAGAATAGAAGAAATTTGGCTGCCGTTGTTTGCACAAGACCGTGCTCCAAATGCCATTATTTACCTCAGATAAGTTTTTCTATGTGAATATTTTGCTCATTCAAATGTGTGCTCACGTTCAGATAGAATGGCGTGTACAGTCGAGATGCAGATTTGTTAGTGAAGAGACACATAGACAAATATTGCATCTCGACACCGACAAGCACCCTATAATTTCCAACAAATTTGTGCGGCTGTAGATTGGAAACTGTTCAAAATTGAATTTCAATTCAAATAGTTCTTTGAACAGTGCCATCAAAAATTATTATATAACCTTTGATGTTCATCCCAAATTCTTATTAACAGCTACACAAACCCTGAAGATTGCCATATCAAAGGAGGAAAAATTCTGATTGTTTTCCAAAATTTATTGAGCAATCAAAACATGCGTGCTTGGACACTGTGCTCAGCTAATGCTAAAAAGTCAACATAGGAAATTAATAAATATAAATATAAACTTTTTGTGATGCCTTTCTGAATAGACCAGACATGTAATTGTTTTGATAAACATTTATCTGTATGCTTCAATACATAACATTTTGAGAAGAAAAATCATTATCATTATTCATATCATTTGGATCATCCATGGGACCGTTGTTCGTATAGTCCATGGGACGGTAGTTTGAGTTTTAAAGGAACGATAGTTCCACATAGGACACAGACCGCATTTGCAGCGCGTCAATCCATCCTTTATTTTACAGTAGCCAGCTCTGCATTGCTACGAAAACAAAAGTTAACGTATGGTAGATTCTCTGAAATAACATACCCTTTTAGCCATGCACGCGTTCACACATTGCGAGTTGGCTTGGTTGATATTTGTGTACATTTGACTGCATACTTGCAGCTCCCATGGTACGACATCCTCGTCAGAACTTTCGAAGTAAGCCGTTGCTCTATATGCAGCTAACAAAAGTAGCACTGTCAAGGACGGATAGTGCATGGCAAGGATGAGACCACAGTGACAGTTGTATTCAAAATTTGACCGCATTCAAGCATTAATATTAGACATGCATGTTGTATTAATTATACTTTTATGTAGCTTGTTACAGCTTTAAATGCACATTAGTTGTAAAATTATCTAAAACGTCGACGATGCTAAATGCATAATTATGATAATTGGTCTCTATATCACTGCGTTCTCCTGCTTCTTTCTTCATGGAGCATTTGCATTTTGTTTTTAGCATTTCAAAAGCTCATACCAATCAGAACATGAACAAACTTAGCTTACAAAGTGCTAATCAAAGCACTGTGAAAGAATGTCTATTAATGCTGCTTTAAGATTCACCTAAATGAATTGGTCAAAAAGAGTTAGCTGGTTTACATATGACTATCATCTCAGACAAATCACCGGAACTTCCGCAGGACAAGCCAAATTTGTAGAAGTTCCGCAGTACTTTGTTCACTATTGCAAAAATAAAACGTTTAAAATCAGGACTTCCGTGGGATTTGCATGCCAAACTGGTTGAAAACCGGAACTTCCGCAGGACCTCCTTCAAAATCCTGCGGAAATTCCGAAAATGCCAGAGATTCCGCAGCACTTTGGCCTGCCAGAACTTCCGCAGGGTTTTGAATGTGTTGTCTGATATGATGTTGCCTCGCCAACAACTGGAGTGCATTATTGAACGTGTCAGTCGTAGTGCAGAGGATAGCGAGTGAGTTTTACAGTCAACAGAGTGAGTTCAAATCTCGCTTTCTCTTTTGCTGTTGTAGTTGGCATTCTTCGGAATTTCCGCAGGACGTTTACGGAACTTCCGCAGGCGACCCGGCGGAAGTTCCGGTCATTTGTCTGAGATGCCTCCAGCACATCTGGCTCAGGATATTTTGACCTTTTCTAAGCAATAGTGGTCATGTTGAATTTGCAACTTCAGCATAGTTTTTTCTTCAATACACTATGATAGGCTTTGTGGTCATGTCGTAAATTCTAAGTATCAGTAATCAATATCTTCCAAATCGAGGCCAAACATTTTACCTTAGGCTTCAAAACAAGGAATTTCACTTTTACAACTGCAAAATATCGTTTGTGCTGTGAAAACGACATAGCTTTGTGGCTCCGTTATTAGTACTGAGTGTTATATTACATGTGACAAAGTTCTAACAATGTGTCATACAGTGCTGGACATAATTATACACCCACTCTAGAAATCGTCGTAATTTTTGTTCTTGTCAATGGATCTGTCTGAAACTTTGCTATATTGTGCGCATGTCAACCTACCATAACCCCTCAAAACGGCTTCCAGTCTTGTTGAGTTTGAACGGAGAAAAACGAAAAAAATCGAAAAAGCCCTCTTTGAAAGCTGGACAAAATTATACAGCCACCTGGTTTTTCTAATCACTATCGCATTCGTTGACTCTCAAATTTTTTTGTACAATTACAACCCAAAATATGAAACGTTTGCGACACTTACGGCCTGTCTTCCTACTCAAGTAGAAGCGATCACTGCATTTTTTGCTTTCAAAAGCACCAAAAATCAGTTTGCTTCAACAAATAACTGGTTTGAAGAGTTTTCAAGCTCATGTTCATTTCAAATGATAATCATGGGATCTAGTGACCCTTCTGGATAGATGAGGTAAAGAGCGCTTAGAGCGCTTTCGTAAACTCTGCGTAATCGCTGATTTTGACGAACAGACTCCAACCTCACCATAGGGTTGACGCACTTTTGCACCACAAAACTCGATTTTCAAGCGACAGAAAATACTGTAATGTAGCCATTACGACAGCCATACAACAGTGAACTCGTGTGCATGACTGGGAAGAAATTTCGGGACTGAGCACTCTGATTCAGCCGCAGTTGACATTCACTGAATGTTGAGTGGAGCACCCTCTACAATCAAAGCCAACTCAGATCACGAGATAAAACCGGAGACGCTCAAAACTTCAAAATCTTAGCTAATCTCATTCATCGGGTGAAATATGACATGAAACACAGACGGAAATAAAGATATCTAGGGTTATATCGAATCTTCCGCTCGCAGGGAATTTTTGTGGAAAGTATTCCAGGTCTAAATCGCTACCGCATCATTAGGAAAAATCTGAAAGTTGTTGCGAAAGCTGTATCCCCAAGTAGACAATGTGATAAATCAAGTTCAGCACTTTGTGGACATTGCAAACTGAGTTTTGTGGTTTAAAAGCGTTCCAAGCCTATGTTGAGGTTAAAGTCTGTCCGTCATAATCAGCGATTACGCAGAGTTTACGAACAAGAGCTTGAAAACTCTTCAAACCAGTTGTTTGTTGAAGCAAACTGATTTTTGGTGCTTTTGAAAGCAAAAAATGCAATGATCGCTTCTACTTGAGTAGGAAGACAGGCCGTAAGTGTCGCAAACGTTTCATATTTTGGGATGTAATTGTACAAAAAAATTTGAGAGTCAACGAATACGATAGTGATTAGAAAAACCAGGTGGCTGTATAATTTTGTCCAGCTTTCAAAGAGGGCTTTTTCGATTTTTTTCGTTTTTCTCCGTTCAAACTCAACAAGACTGGAAGCCGTTTTGAGGGGTTATGGTAGGTTGACATGCGCACAATATAGCAAAGTTTCAGACAGATCCATTGACAAGAACAAGAATTACGACGATTTCTAGAGTGGCTGTATAATTATGTCCAGCACTGTATAAAGTTTTTTGGTTTGGTGAGACTTCTCGTGATTTTCGCAAAAATAGCGAAGAGCAAGGAATAAGTAAATTGAAGGAAAGACTAGAATGCTACGTGATTCTCAGATATATGGAGAAAGCTCTTTCCGCTAATTTTTCTTCAAAGTTTTCATTCAGCGCAAAACAGACACGAAGTGGGCCTGATTCTTTGTAACTTGTTTACGCTCCGATCATTGGATGTGCAAATTCAAAGCTTTATTCTGCCCTCTACGTGGAGCTCTTACGTTCCGAGTACAGTCTGTTTTCCATTCCAACAGGTCAAAAAATTGGCTTGAAATACATGCTTACAAAATAAAAAACAAAAAATAAATACATGGCACAAAGATTCATATCATGTATGCATGCAAAACACCGCCAGCAAAATCAAAGAGAATGGGAAAAGAGCAGACACGTTGTTGCATTACTTCCTTTCCTTTTACCAAAAATCTTTCCTCCACGGTATGTTTTGGGAAGATCATTGAAATATATATACACTCAAAACACTTGCACCATGTGTATACCATTGACCTTTGCTCGTGGGAAAAGGGCAGCCGTTAGAGAGAAATTTTCCACTGCGCGTCGAGTGTCAAACGGACGAAGACGAAGCGAATCACCGGAAATTCAAGGCAATCGGGTCGGGACCATAACGATTGGGACTATAGAAAAAAGATTTTTCAATTTCCATGTCCGTTTGAAGTTTGACGCGTTGAAAAAAAAAAGTCCCAGCGAAATGACCGTTCAACATACACATGGAATTAAAGTGCTTGTTATAAGCACTGTTTTTTGCACGGTTTACGGCTTGAAATAAAGATGAGGCAATGCTTTGATTAGATGTTGTTCTTGAGAATGGCTTTTCACCGCTCAGTTTACATGAGAAAGCTCAATCATCGATTTCGTTTACGCGTCACAACAAGTGGAATGACCCTAGCAATAAGTAGGGAGGACATGTAATCCGAGTGTAATCACAACCACATCATACGACACCGCTCGAAAACGTGCAAGATTTCCGTGATTGTCACGGAATTCCGGGAATTTTGAAGTCTGCGACATACTGAGGACGTGACATTCCGGAAGTTTTGCGGAATCATGCGACCACGCAAACACGCCGCGCCATAACTTTCTTCGGAATGAACACATTCTAAGTCCAAAAGCATTGTGCTCACGATGAAATGGTCAGAACTTAACCCAGACATTCCAGACAAGCTGCATATCATCGAATTAGCTTGAAATGCTGGTTTCAAATATACACCCCATTTTCAGGTGTATAAGCAGCACCCTTTTTGGTCTAAACGCGAGCAGACCCAAGCGTGCCGCCGCGCATATATCTCGCGAGGCGTTCGCCTCATCGCATACTGCTCTCACTTAACGCGCTCCATGGTGACAGTCAGTCTTTTGGCGTGTTCGCCTTTAGAGCGAAAAGGGTGCGGCTTACACACTGAAAATAGGGTACATATTTTTGCCTACCAAGCAACTTGGGAAAAGTTATAAGCGTCCAATATGAGAAAATTTCGAATTTTGAAGAATATATTTTTTTGAAAGGCAACCTGATGGCGGGTACAGTGGCTATGGTTATTTTAATTACAAGGAATAAGCATAGTCATCAAAAACCCAAATAATTGTTTTTGAAACCTATTTCATGGAACATGCACCAATTTCATGGAACGGAACACTTGACAAATCGCATATTTGAGCGCTCATAACTCCCCCTAGATAGTCGCTTAGCAGATATTACATATATTCGTGATCAGCGTTTCAAGACAAGTTCGATGATTTACAGCACATGTGGTATGGCTGGCTTAAGTTCTGACTCCCTGCTCATCTCACCAAGGCGAGTCTTTTGGTATGTCTGTGATATCCCGTTTCCAGTTTTCTGGTGAATTTTGGAAAAATCGGCTTTTCACATTCTTCTCACGGTGACCTCTAAACATGAAGCTGTCCTGCTAAGCAAATGTTATTTTTGTAAGCAGCAGGTCAGACAACCCCTGGGCGAATTTTCCTTGTTTTTCCAAGGTCGTTTAATGCTTTGAAGCTCGCCGATGCTTTTGGTTAAATTATTAATGATCTTGGATTGAAAGGAAAGTTTGTTCAGGTCCGGACACGCTGTTTACGGATATTGCGTAATCCTTGCGAAGTGCAGTCTTCTAGCAGTGATATAGTGAGAGAGTGTAGCTAAGCCATAGAAGTTTGCAAACTCGCCTGCACTTTTCGTGTACCTATTAGCATGTTTGTCTGCTTACCTATAGAGCTTGAAGTGAAACGTGCTAATAAAGGAGCTGTCTCAGGCACCAATCTTCAGTAGTCGTCGAGTTACGGGCTTACGAAATCAAATCCTCACTAATATTACCCAAAACACAAACATCGCGTACTCATCGAAATTCTTTTGTGAGTGGTACCATAAAACACGCTAGAAGAAACTTATAACACTTATAACATATAAGTGTTATAAGTGTTATAAGTTAAGTACTTAGTTACTCATTAGTTACACTTTTATGTTATAAGTGTTATAAGTTACTCCACTTACATCACGCTGATTGCGAATTTTATGTTCACTACGTTCAAGGAGTTTTAGCGTATTATTGTTAGATACGGTAGTTAGAGCTCTAGCCACGAAGCTCCTCTAATATCTGTGTAACCCTTCCAAATGATGAGCATTCATCTCGAAAAGCCACTTCGACCAAATATCCTTCCCTTGTAAGAACTTGAGTACAAGTAAGTACACAGATATTAGAGGAGCTTCGTGGCTACTTGATTACAAGTACATCCATTTTCAACACCATTGCTAAAAACTTCTCACAAGGGAAGGACGATTGGTCGAAGTGGCCTTCTGACATAAGCTCTATACTAGGAAACCCTTCTTGGTAAGCCAATCTCAAAACTACTTTCGCTAGTTGCGGAACGGTTTTGTGGGGGGGAGGGGGAGTTTTGAGGCATTTTTCTCTGGCGTGGCCGGCGCGCTTACTAATGGGCGAAGCACATAAGGCTATGCAGAGAGTGTGGCCGTGCCGCATTGGCAAGGTGGCGGACTATGAAACAGATGGTCGAAGGTTCGGATCCTCTTGCTGACATTTTGCTTTGCAGTTCTGTAAAGAGTCTATTGGGTGATAGTAAACGACAATCACTCTAGCAGTCAAAACAAGCTATTTTTACTGCACAAAGCCACTATTTCTACTCAGCTATAATCTTCTACAATATATTAGGTCGTTCCGAAGGTAATGTCGCTTTTTTCGAATGAACGCCACTATTCGTGGAATCAATTTTCAAGAGATCTTAGGAGCATTCGATGCAGCGTTTCATCCTCTCTAACGGTTTTAATTTCACTGCATAATGTTTGATGAGCTCTCGAAAAACTACCAAAATCTGCGACTCATGCTTTTTGCCATGGTCAAGTTTGGCTATTTTTCTAAATTTTTGTACCTAATCTCCGATAAAGTTCAAGTGGCAGGTAGATAGAGCAGACACTATAGAGCACAGTGTAATTTTTTCTTTTCTTTAGCTTGCTTCTCAGAGTTTCTACAATCAATTTCTTAGTGCCATCAAATTCCATATTTAGTCAACTCAAACCTCACAGAACAGAAACCGGCAAGCTACTCGGGTGTCATTCGATGCAGCTTTTTCTCCTCTCAGCGGTCGTTTTTTGCTTCCGATTCATCAAGTTTTCCGGGATAAAACCATCATAATTCAACTTTTCAAAGGCACTCCAAGGAGTACCCGAAATTTTCGAAAGTTGCTAAATCGAAGCGGTGAATGCTCTTTTGGTTTGTAAAATTGTTGCCAAACCATCATCTTTGTAAGTTTCAAAATCAGGAGACTTGTTGGCGTTTGATGCACTTGTGCCTGAGACGAGCCTGCTAATTCGGTGGTTCCATCAAACAATCTGTACAAAAATTATGACGAGCTCTGGAAAGTAGAAAAAAGTTGTGCTGTTTCCTTAGGGTTTGCTCCATCCATCCATCACTTGGGCTCCTTCTGAGGTTTGTTATAAAATTTTAGAAAAATTGTGAAACTTGGCCATCTCAAAAAGCATAGGTCGCAAATTTTGACTCTTTTTTGGAAGCTCATTGACTGTATTGCATCAACTTCATAACCATTAGAAAGAGAATGAAATGCTGCATCAAATGCTACCAGAATCTCTTACACATCTTTGTTCCACGAGATGTGGCATACGTTTGAAAAAAGCGACATTACTTTTGATGATATATTAACACGTATGGAATACAACCACAAATGTTTAAAGCAGAAGAGCTTCTTGCAGCGCGCACATCGGAAGAAATATAAACGATTATAGAAGATTATAGCTGATTGTAGAAATAGTGACTATTTGCAGTAAATAGCTTTTTCAACTGCTAGGAATGAATATTTCTCCTTGACTGTCACCCAGTAGACTCTTTACAAAACTGCAAAACAAAATGCAATCAAACAGGAACCGAACCTTTGACCATATGCTTCATAGTCAGCTGCCTTGCCACTGCGCCACACACTCATTGCAACGTTCTAGCGCCTCGCTCATTTTTAGGTGCGCCGGCTGCACCGGAAAAAATGGCCTAATAGCTCGCACCACAAAACCGTTCGGCAACTAGCTAGAGTAGTTTCGAGATTGCCTTAGCAATAAGGGTTTTCTAGTATAGAGCTCATTCCAAAAGACCACTTCGACCGATCATCCTTCCCTTGTCAGCAAACTAGATGACATACAAAACAACATATTTTTTTATTCACGTATCCTCACTGTTAATGACTCCCTCACTTCCACGACTATTTATGATTTTCCACAAGTCGGCGGAGCAAACTTTTGACGCAACAATACTTCGTGGATAATGGATAGATAACCTGAAGTTTTAAAAACCGACAAATCCGATTACTTTCTTTGCTTAATATAACTTTTTACAGAAATGCTCATTTGGCACAAACATTGGCGACTCAACTAAAAGAATAAAGAAAGCACAACTACAAAGAGGAAAATTTCTTTTATCCGGAAGTTAAGTATGTGCACATCTTGTATGTCTGTGATATGCTGTGTTACGCTAAATCAGGTTGCTTACTGGTAAATTTGGACACTACAGAGTATGAGACGAGACTCTTGGAGTCACCAAGAGCCTCGTCTCATACTCTGCCTGTCCAGACCTAGTCAAACGCAGCCAGGAAAAATAAAGGTAAAAAAAACGAGCTGACCCTGAGTCCGCTGCATTCCAGTAGGTCTGCGCAATTAGTTACTTCACGCAATTTCAGTCGCGACGCGATTTGACAATTAGCCAGAAGTCTTCAAATCCAACACTAGAAAACAGCACATGCATAGTGTGTATAACTTACGTAAACTGATGAAATGCCCTATCTTCTGTGCTTTTAAAATGTGGTTACAATAAGTTATGGACAGTTGGAATATTGCCAAATCGTGTCGCGACCGAAATCGCGTGAAGTATGCCCGGCCGTTATGACGGACGTTGCTAAGTGTCACCCAGTAAGTCAGTGCTTTTATGTGCGGCTGTTGATCGCATGACGATAGTTACGGCAAAAGGTTAGTGCAGCGACACAGATTAACTTTATACTGAGCATTTTACCCGTCTCCCCTATGTAGCAATCATGACAGCTGAGACGCTCCGTCTTGTAGTCTGCACTTGCCACTTCTTAACTTTCCATAGGGATAGACGATTCTATGTTCCAGGACGCATTCGCTATTTTATAGATTATTCCAAACCTAACTGCTTCCTGAAAGTATCATTCGAGATATCGGCGAGTATGACATCATCTTACAGATGAGTACGGTGTATGCTTTGTCTTGCCGGGTTAATTCTATTTGGTACAAACGGAATGCAAAGAGATAAAGTACCGTTTCGCTAACGGATATTTATTTCAGGTGGTGCATCAAAGTCAAAGGTGCCACTCATTAACACTCATCAATTCCGGAGTAGCTGCGAAACACGAAGGTTGAACATAGTGCTTTTACGAAGGCGTTTTATGAGATTTCTAATTACAATAATGTTCACAAGACGATACGCTGAAGGCTTTTCCAGATGTTGGATAAGCACATCAACACCATAAGTACTTTCGGGATAAGCAAAACGCAAGTAGTGGTCATCCCAAGCATAGTTTAACATCTTCTAGTGCCTGGGAGTTACTTCTTTCAGATACGAGGACTTGCTATGGAAGGGTTGGGCCAGACTACGCTGAAAAAGCGGCATGTGCGACGTACTACGCTCGGAAGTTTCATCATAGGATCGTACGCGACGTACACTGCGCACGCTGATTAGCCGTGCAGTTTGGCTCAACCTGAACAACGCCCAGCGCCTGTCCTCACAGTATATTCTAGTGGGACTGAAAAGCCAATGCTTGCCCGCATGCCTTTGATTAATACACTTTGATCACCTTACATCGGCAACCGTGTGATATACCAACTCAAGCCAAAATGGATGAGGGCTTAGACATCTTAGGCCCGTATGCACGTACATCCCGTTTGGGAGGGGAGGAGATCTGGGACGCTACTCTAGACATCTTTCTCCTTCGTTCTCTATTTTGCTTATGAAGTTTTTCATACAATTATACCTGCGCATAGTGGATGCAAGGTTACTTTTATACAAGATTGGTTTTTTGCCATTTTCTGTAATCCTCAGGGGATTCACCTCTCATCTTCAAAGTGATTTGTGTTCCTGAGAAGTCAAGATATACTACGGCACTGCTAAGCATGTGTACGACAGGAGAAATGGAATCTGAGGATTGTGAATTTTTTGATAGTCCCTAGCTCGCGAGCTAGGGATTACCGAAAATTGCAATATCCTGCTATTTCACTTATTTCTACTATAAACATCTTTAGCAGTGCCGTAGTATTTTCACAGTATATTCTAATTATCCATAGCTCATTGAAGCCCATCTTAAATGTACAGAAGATAGGGCATTTCATAAATCTAAGTAATTCATACACACTATCCATGTGCAATTTGCTAATGTTGGATTTGAAGACTTCTGGCGAATTGCCAAATCGCGTCGCGACTGAATTCGCGTGAAGTATGCCCGGCCTTTAACGGTTTAACATTTGATAATGATTTAATTTGTTAGCCCTCTGTTTTGAACCTCCGCTTCTCGTATTCTTTCTCCAATAGTTGTTGCGTGTACTATACGCCACTAAACGTCTGCAAAGCTCCTCCCAGTGCATGTGGAAGGCGAGATTGCAATCTACGAAAATTTTCTAAATTTGAAGATAGTTTACTGCAAACATATGTAAACTGATTTCGATACAAATGCAAGTGGTGAAAAGTTTATACAAATGTTTGAAGTGATACTGATAATTTTGGGCTAAGCTTTCTTCTTGTGAGTCTTTTGTTCCTTCTTGTGCTTAGAATATGTTTCTCCTTTCTTGAGCTTGGGACACTGTCGACATTTACATCGCTTGCGTTTATCCTTTAACTTGCAGTATCCCCAAAGGCACCCCTGAATATAACAGATTTATGCGCTAGGATGTAAAACACAACATGCAAAACTCGCCCTGTACATTTGGCAAGCGTTACTGCATTGTTTCCTAGCAACCAAGGGTTCCTTGTACATATTTTTGCACATCATTTGCCTTTCCTTTTTAGTTAGCGCCTCGACTGCCACTTCCAGAACGAGTAACAGCAGTAGCACCAAAGCTAGCTCTCGCATTCCTTACGCAAATTGAGCCTGTGAAAGACTGGCATACAGCTTCAACTTGTAACAACACACGTAGCACAAAAAGTACTAAGAGTTTGAAAGAGAACAGTTATCATGTATGGTCTTTTATTGAATCCGTTTTCTGTCTTTCAATCCTCAGAAGAATATTGTTCTATAGAACTTGTTCAAGTTTATACAGCTGATCTGTAGATGTAAAACAAGCACACCTTTATAATGCTTACTTTAAATGCAAATTCTTTATGAAGGCTGAGCGCAGAATGGTTGTGAAACCGATGCGCATATGGTTGCAACTATGTCTGCCCTCTTCGATCAATGCTAGGGAGTAACAATATGTAAGTGTAACTCCTCTTCATCATAATCTAAGGTGCTAAAAAGTTGCAAGACAATAAACTGAAATGTGCAGATCGTTTACTTATATTTCAAACGGTCAAACTTCTTTTGGCGTCATTTTCTTAAAAATAATAGTTTTCTATTGTCGCTTTCGATTGATGTCTCATAAGTTCGTCTACGTTCGTGATTACTGTGCGCCACAGGTGCGATAGTGTGAAAATTTTCTCACCCTCCCTTCACCCCTGAGCCGGGACCAAGATGACCCCTTCACTAAATGCCGAGAAAAATAACCAACAGTGGGGTAAGATTAAGCAAAGAAGATATTTGTACGTGAAATGTTTATGTATAGGAAAGGAAGAGTCTGTTGAAAAAAGGGCTTGGTGACGGGTGTGAGTAATGATTTCTGGAGATTTTCTTTTAACATATAAAAAAAATTCATAACTTCTGTAGTTGAACATCTTGTACGCCTTGATGGTCACCATTGGAACCATCTCGTCCTTCGCTTTCAGAAAATATAAAGAACGTTTGATATCCATTCAAGAAAGTGCAGTGAACGGTTTGCTTAGTGATTTTTGAGGATTTTCGATTTTTTAACATAAAAAAAAATTAATAACTTCTGCTGATGAATATACTGTACGCCGATATGGTCACCTTTGGAACCGTCTCGTCCTCCGCTTTCAGAAAGTATACACTTTGCTTGCGGTCCGTTAGAAATAGTGCCGGGTAAAGGGTGGGTGAGACTTTTATAATGGAAGTGCTCAAGTACAGGCTTTTTTACCATTGTAAAATGATGTCTACTTGAGCACTCCCATTATAAAAGTCTCACCCACCCTTCACCTTGCATTTTTCTAGGGCCCCAGGCAATGTATATATTTTCTGAAAGCGGAGGACGAGGCGCTTCTAATGATGACTATCTGGCGTACAAGATGCTCATCTGCAGAAGTTATGAATTTTTTATGTAAAAACTCGAAAATCTCCAAAAATCACAAGGACACCCTTCACCCAAGCACTTTTTTCAATGGACCCCAAACACAGTATATATTTCCTGAAAGCGGAGGATGAGATGGTTCCAAAGGTAACCATCACTGCGTATAAGATGTTCATCTACAGAAGTTACGGATTTTTGTAGCCTAAAAACTCGTAAATATCCAGAATCACTACCCACATTCTTTACCAGACACTTTTTCAACAGACTCCAGGCAAGCTATATCTTCTCCAAAAGCGGAGGACAAGATAGCTGTAAAAACCTTTTTATTGCTGTCGTTGCTGTTCATTCACAGAAGTTACGAATTTCTTCTTCTAAAAATTCGTAAATACTTAAAAACTGTACCTTTTCCCGAAAGAGATGTTCTCGCATACACATCTTCTTTGGTATTTTTGAAAACATATAGGGTTGTTCCAATCCTATCAGTCTTTACATTTTGGTAAAAAGATAACCAATGACGGCAGTGAATTTAAAATGATGAACTTTTATTTGGAAAATAAGAAAATACCATCACCTTTTCCTCTCCCCCCCCCCCCCCCCCGGTCGGCATTTTATGATTTCTCGATCAACTGAAACACCCTTCACCCTGGAGGGACTGCGACCACTGTGACTCCCTTCACCCTGGAGGAGTTATTCTCACCTTATCGCACCTGTGCTGTGCGCCTTCTGAGTGGCCCAGAGGCTTCGACACAGATGCGATGTCAATATCAGCTAAGAACGGTACGGGGTGGGGCGGTGAAGGACTCTCCGAAAGGCGGTCACTCTATGCAAACCTTTGCGACAAAGCACGTAGCTTTACCCATTATGCATCACAGGCATTATAGAATTGTACCAGCTGTCCGCGCGGGGTGGAGCCTACAGTTACGGCATACAGTTCCCCCTCCCCTGGTGGACACTATATGTGAAAGTACTGCTTGAAGGAGATTCATTCTTGCTTTCTTTTTGTTTGTAATAAGTACTTTATATGTTCGTCGAAAGTTTTATGTACCTCGTCGAAATATGGTTGTCTATCATTTCTGAACTTATATCCAATTTTACAGGCCATTATTCCTTCTACATTATTCCTTCCATATGCGTATCAAAAACAAACTGCTCGAAAACAAGAGATGCTATCAGCGAATTGAAGCAGCAACACAAACCTATTTCTTTCAAATCCCGGTTCCCAAAGTTTTCGCTTTTCCCTGCAAGACTGTAAGCAGATTTGGCGTCACTACGTCGCCGGTTTGTACCGATTTCATGAATCTCAAAGAAAGGCACTTTGAAGTTGTGATCCATTGTGCATAAAGCGCTCCGCAAGTAAGGATTGCAATTACAGTTCAGCACTCATCACTCCTTGGATTACGATGAGTCTTCCCAGATAAGACTCTACTTCACGAACTTCGAAAGTTGCACCCTTGGAATTTGATAGACTGCTCAGTTCCTGCTACAAAAACCAAATTTTTGAGAAGCTACCTTCTTCCTTATAGGCAGATTTGTGATGAATCGTTGAGATGTAAGCGGAAGCTGATTAGTCTTCTTAGCAGCCTTTCAGCTTCCCTTCGAGACCAAGATTGATGAAATGCTCAGCTGAATGGGCTGTGAGATTCATGAAATCGTACAAACCGGCGACGTAGTGACGCCAAATCTGCTTACAGTCTTGCAGGGAAAAGCGAAAACTTTGGGAACCGGGATTTGAAAGAAATAGGTTTGTGCTGCTGCTTCAATTCGCTGATAGCATCTCTTGTTTTCGAGCAGTTTGATACGCATATGGAAGGAATAATGTAGAAGGAATAATGGCCTGTAAAATTGGATATTTTTCTTCTTTTTTTTTTCAGAAATGATAGACAACCATATTTCGACGAGGTACATAAAACTTTCGACGAACATATAAAGTACATATTACAAACACAACAAAAAGCAGCAAGAATGAATAATGAATTTTGCAATCTTTTGAGAGGAATCCACCCAAAAGTTGTTTTTTGCGACTAAACCATTTTCACAACTTTTGCAGCTTTCTTTGGAACTACTGAAGAAGGTCACCAAGAAAGCTACTCTGGTCTAGCTCTAAGCCCCGAAACCGGTTGAGTGTAAAAGTGGTTGAAAAATTCATGCTAAATTTCAATTTATGCTTTGAAAACTAATGTATTTATTACTCTTTCATTCTTCAGTTCCCCTTTAGGGTTTTTCCATAATGGCTACTGGCCTCACCTCTTGTCGTCATTGAGCGCCCTTAGGCCTCAGGCAGAGCTCACGCGATTTGTCGTGCGATTGATCGCGACGAGACAACTGCAACAATATCATTGCATGCCGATTTTCCTGCATTTCGGTTGTGACAGGTTTCCAACACGACTAGTCGTGACTAACTATCACTATCGAAATACAAGAAGATCGGCATAGAATGAACTCGTATCTCAAATCACGTAAACTCGCTCGAGGTCTTAAATTTTTGCATTGCTTTCTTGCAACTGACCCTCCTTCATGCATGGGGTTAAAAATAGGAAAGACGCAAAAAACTCTGTCGTAGCGCTTGGAAGAATCCAGGGAATTGAAAACAATTGACACTTGTAGCGTCCCATCTGATCACTGAAGACTGTACGCTTTACACAAGATCATTGCTTGTTTTTAAAAGTTGCCAATTCTAACTGATTCAGTGATGAGCGCTTATTCAAAGAAAACATGCGTCGAGAAATATTCCACAGGCGCTCTCGATAAATAGTATTGTTGTCGGCGGGCAAAGCATGCGATACTGAAGTAGGCGCTCGCTAAAAATTAGGTCATGCTTCGAAGTTTGACTGACCACTGGCAAGAGCGATTTTGATCCGCTTTTCCGGCAATGGTTGAGTTAGTAACTCATTCTAAAAACAAAGACTGTGCCTACGTCGCGGCAGTTCTTCTGCTTTTCAACTTGGAAGCCTTGATGTTAGTTTTTGCATAAGGTCTAACAGCTCTAGCACTGACTTAATGTGACCTTATCGCAAAACTTTGCCTGCGAGGCAAAGGCGAAGTTCTGGAGTACAAAATCGTGCCATGCTCACAATAAGGTTGAGAATGAAACAGCTGCAAACGCACATGCTTTTCTCCAATCTGCAGCAAATTCTTTGAGTGATGAAAGCTGTGTTGCTTTACAAGAATGTTTGGATGTTAAGAAGTTGCAGGAGCGGATGAAAACCAGCTTGTTCGAAGTGTTCCTTCAGCTTTAACAATGAACCACCAAGCTTTACGCTGCCAAAAGTCTTTCTTGAGATTTACGTTGATTACAATTTTGCATTAGGAATGCCCTTTTGAACTATGCTTTTTCGTTTGAAACTTATGGTTTTTTGCAGATCTTTCAGGAAGTCCTGAAGCTTGGAAAACAGGAAGTCCGCGATTATGAAGTGCACTTCAAAACTTGGATTGTGCTGTTGTCAAATAAATGTTCGGGAACTAGTTTCTGCGTTTTAAGGAGAGCGAGAGAGACTAAGTCCGGTAAGCGTTTTAACGGCTTCAAGTAGAATTCGAATTCAATAGCTCACCGATTATTCAGCGTAACACCAATCGTTCACGAAGACGCACACCTCTTCACAACTTCGAAAAGCAAAAATGATCGTATGCAACTTTATTTCATTGATGGTTTTATCATTTCATCATTTACATGAACTTTCATGTAAATATCTATTCAGTTTGGATGTGGAGAGCCCTTTGCGGTGCAGTGCATATG